TTTATTGAAAGCACAGAATTTCATAAACTAAATACAAAGTACGTGAGAATAAATTATCGTATATTTACAACAGACAGTAGCAGCAAATGCTCATATTTTCATCACAAATTATAATAAAAAAATAATGTGAACGATGGAACTCTTTTTGCATTCTTAAAATCTGATTAAATTGAGGTTCAAATTTTGAAACGCTAATCACAATTAGCGACTTTAAATGTTCGTCGGACAAATTTGCCCTGTATTTCGACTTGATGTACTCATCTGGGAAAAAGGTTGTTCACAAAGATACGTCATCCCAAAAATGGAGATAAATTTACAAGCAAATTTCTTTAAATCTGGAAATTGCTCAGAGTTCAGAAATTTATAAAATTCGATCAAATTTCCTTCCTTGTATTTGTCTTTAATTTTATAATCTTGAAGTTCAATAATTTCCATTTGAATTTGACATCTGCGGCGTCACAGTCAAACGGATTTTCAAACAATCTAATTTCCTGAGCACTGGAATCCAAATCATCAAATCGCTTCCGAAATTGTTCTTTCAAATCTAAAATGACTAAATTTGCAAACGAGGAAGAAATTCTGCTTCACCCTTTTTATGCAACTCTGCACAGTATAGCATATGAACAAAGTTACAATTTTTCGCTTGCCTTTCCAGTTCTGATAATTAATATTTTATTTAAAGAACTTTTAAAAAAATTTCAGTGATTCCAAGATAATTTAAGAAATTATAATATAATTTTGAATGAGTTAAACCTAATTTATATAATTGCTCTGAATGCCTTGATAAGTGAAAATAAATCACAGACTAAGTTATTTTCACCCTGCAACTTTAAATCAAATGCTAATTTCCAAAGCCGCTTTGTATCTGATAAAACTGGTTCGTGATAGTTTTTCTCAGTAAGAAATATATCAATTTCATTCTTGAGCTGAAAGAAGCGCGAAATAACTTTTCCACAGCAAAGCCATCGAACTGCAGTATAATATGTCAGGTCAATAAGTTCCGAATCACATTTACTAGTACTCATTGGAAAATTAGTTTAATTGGCGCATTTCTGCACAATTCTTTCGCGGGCCGGATAAAATCACATCGCGGGTCGCATATGGCCCGCGGGCCGTAGTTTGGATACCATTGACATAGATGATCATATAGCCAACTGTAAGAATTCTACGTTTACCGAAGACGCAAGCTACGGTGTCTAAGTCAGAGAAGTATATTTAATGAGATGAAACTGTTACACCTCCGACGGAGGAGTGATATTGAATCATTAAAGAGTGTCGGAAGAGAATGTGACGATGTAATAATGTAATTTAATATGGATGTGAAGAAGAGTGGCGACATTGAAACATTGAATATTGTCATGGCGAACATGGCGAAAGATGGCGAATTAGTGTTTTTGGATGTTGGCAGTGGTTTTGTCGTATTTCTGTTTTCGATTGATGGCTAGTGGATAGTGACCTGTAACAGAAGAACGAAACTGAGAGCCCTGCGTTAAGATATGAATTTAGCGCAAAGGAGTATTAGATTGTGCTTGTATAGTACATCAGCTCAAGTTAGTCGCACAAAGTGGGACCTTATGAGTGCCGTTTGTTTGGAAAGGAAGCCGGTGTTATCCGGGGAGTTAAATGAAATTGAACGAAAGTTTTCAAGAATGCTTGCAGACATTGAGTTAGAGAACAGCCATAAAAGTGATCATGAAGTGAGGTACGAAACAGAAACTTTGCAGGCTGAGCTTTTAAAGAGCAAGTCATTGGACCTGGATATAGAGCAGACACTTCAGCAAACTGCACAGGACTTTGAGGATGCCGCAGTAGATGAATACAACAAATTTGTATTTGAATCTAGGATAACAGAAGCAGATAAAGCAAATGATTTGCAGAACCTTGAAAGGAAATTAGACAGACATTTGTTACTTCTAGTTCAACAAAAACAATGGGACCAGAAAATTTGGGCCTTGCCTCAAGGATTGCAAAAGGATGGAGAAACTATGCTACAGACAGCAGAAAGGGTACTGAGAGAAAAGTGTGGGGATGATTTAACAGTACAGTTTTATGGGAATGCTCCTTGTGGTGTTTATAAGTATAAGTATCCAAAAATGTTTGTAAGCCGTGAAGAAGAAGGTCCAGTTGGTGCTAAAGTGTTTTTCTTTAAGGCACAGTACATTGCAGGATATGTGGATCATAATAAACTGAAACTTCAGGAATTCAAATGGTTAGGAAGAGAGGAACTAATGTCTAGTTTATCCCAAGAATATTACAGAAACATTAGTCAGTTTCTTATCGATGAAGAGTGAAATTCTTTAATGTATTTTAAATATGTTCAGTGTTTGTGTTAGTAGTGTTTGATATTTTGGGTGCCAGCAGGTTTTACAAGTTGTAGTTGAAAGTACAGTATTTCTAATATTCCAGTGGGAACAAACCTGCCTTGAATACCTGTCATTTATATAACATGTTTGTACTTACATAAAGGTTCTAAAATTGCTGGTTGCTAAGTTGCTGTGATGTATAGAAATTAATTTGTAGTGTGAGTTTTTCAGTATATGTTACAAATATGTGAAGTATTTCATTTGGCAAAACATAAATTGATTTGCTTTGCACTAGCTTTGTTTACATATGGAGCAGTTCATTGAAGAGACAGCCATTTTAACACTACCATGTGTTATAAAATACCAGCTTCATTAGTGTCATCACTCAGGAAAGCAGTGCATTGTAGTACACGCATTGAATGAGGATCTATGCCCATTTGAAAGTGCTGTCCTTAAAAGCATTATACATACTCTGATTTTAAGCAGCTGGTGAATTTAATTAGCATCCTCAAGTGTTCTGAATGAACAATGTGTGAGAGGCAAGAGCAAATTAATATCACTTTCTAACTTTGATAATCACATCTTTATGGGCCTTATGAATTTGGAGGTTTGTGTTGGTGTCTGTGGATTGTACTTACAAACCACAAATTTCATAAGGAAATCTGAAAGATGGGTTTGGCAGAGAAGATCAAAGCTTCACCCAGATCACTGAATTATCATTATGATTTGCATGCGCAAATCACTATACTTTCATTATGACATGAGCCAGCATGTGGTAGTTTATGAATAAATTTGATATTAGGCCAATCAGTGGCCCCCATGCCAAGTAGACCCAGTTGGACTCCACCCCCCATGAAGTGAATTAAAAAAAAATTAATTTAAGGCAGTATTGGCCAAGTTTCATATCATTGTGATGGAACCATATTCTCCTGATCTAGGTCTGTTTTTTTTCCAAGTTTTACACCGAATTTGAGAGTTAGTCCTTGTTCTGAAAACTTCAACAATTATTTGTAAAACAATAGCAGAAACAAGATTTAATACCGGTCAAAGAAAGCTGGAAGAAGGTGGTTATAACTCAAACCAATTGTGCTTGGATTCCAGTTTCTGACTGTGTACTCCCAGTATGAATCTTATGCCAGTTCATCAGAATGCATAGTAATATAATTCCCCTGTGGTTTGGGAGAAAAATTTTCAGTCCAGAAATAAATCATTAGGATTACTTTTGAGAGTGTGATTTCAATGTTGAAACCAGCCATCTTTTCTTGTACTAATATTCGAGCAACTGTTTTGTCTACCCTATCCCATCACACCTATGTTACCCATGGAAACTTTCGCTTATGTCATATTACACCATCAGTATCACGTCACTGTTCCAAGTAAGGGATTTGTCATAAATCAGAAGGGAACTTTTTGTTGTGTTATATGAATGTTTAAACCAGGTACCTTTCCATGTACTAGTGACTTCTACCTTATTGCTGCAACATTTCCATTGGAAAGTATTTCTCTAATTACATCTTTTCATATGTTGGAAACTATGCAGTTGTAGTCACAATTGTAGGGTGTGACATGTGAGATTGAGTTTGCTTTACCACATAGTGTAATTTCAGACTCTCTGCCTGCATGAAAACAACCACACCTGTACTGTGCCATTCTATTAAAACTGGTATTTGTTACACTGTTCCAAGATACAGTCTGCAAGCTGTAAACAAACTATTACAAAACAGTTACAACAAAAGCATCTAAACATTTTTTTTTTTTTGAAATTGTGCAAATAATGTATGAGGCAATTGACAATTATCGAGTGTTTGGTTGTCCTCTCAGTGCCACCTAGATCCAATCTCCTTCCTATGAGTGAGAGAAAGGAAAGGTAAAAAAAAACTTGTAAGATTTGAAGTTTACACGGCAGTGACAATGAAGAAAGCCGTCTTCTGGAATGTGGCGCTGTGTAGAAATTGTGTTAACTGACGTTTCGGAGAAATGTATCGCCTCTATCCTCAGGGTAGAAGACAAGAAGAAATCTGTGAGCAAACCAGCACATCAGGTGCAACAGACTGCGTCCAGTCGAGTAAACAGCTGTATAAGAGAAGGAATGTGGGTACATAAGGAAATAGTAGAGAGGGGGAGGGGAAGGGCCTGGTGGAATAGCCAGCAGGTAGTGGGCCAGAGCTGGTATGTAGTGTGTGTTAGGGGGGAGAGAAGGGAAGGTTAAATGGAGGGCATTAACCCTGTAGCTCGGGGTTTGCGATGGACCTGAGTGGCCTATAGAGTCTGCCTGCCGTATTTCGGAGGTTACTTGAGGGAACAGATGAGAGATTTCCATGATTTGCTGAGAGAAAACCCCACCTGTCTGTTCATATTGTTGGGATGGAGTTCAATCTCAATGGCCTCCCTAATGATGTGATCCATATAACGGGTCTTGGTAGCGAGGATGGAGGTATTCTGGAGCTGAATGCGGTTTCCAAAATCAGTGCTGTGTTCAGCCACAGCTGACTTGTCTGGATGTTCAAGACGGATGTGCCGCTGATGCTCCTTGAAACTCATGTCCACACAACAGCCTGTCTGCCCAATATAGACCTTGCTGCACTCGCATGGGATACTTTATACACCCAGTGTCCTTAGTCTCAGGCTATCTTTGAGTGGCTGGAGGAAACTAGATAATTTCTTTGGAGGCAGGCCCACTGATTTGATGTTGGGCCAGGACAGCACTCTGCTAATACGGTTGAATATAGTCCCGACATAAGGCAGGAAGGCAAATGAGTCTGGTTTATCTTTGGGCCAACAGTTGAGAACTGTGGATCTGCCGGTTGTTTTATCTGTTCTGCCTGAAAACATCCCCCACAAGTACCAACTCCGCATGTAGGTTGTCTTGATCGCATAGAGCTCTAGCCCTGTGCACCAATGCGGAAAGCGCAGCTTGCTTGTTGGAATGGTGGTCGTGGGATGCAGCATTAAGGTAGAGGTTTGTATGGGTTGATTTGCGTACACTCTATGGCCCTTCTATCCCCCTAACACACACTCTATACCAGCTCTGGCCCACTACCTGCTGGCTATTCCACCAGACCCTTCCCCACCCTCTCTCTATTATTTCCCTATGTAACCACATTCCTTCTCTTATACAGCTGTGTTTACTTGACGCAGTCTGTTGCACCTGCTCTGCTGGTTCGCTTGCAGATTTCTTCTTGCCTTTTACCCTGAAGATGGAGGCGATACTTTCCTCCGAAACGTCGGTTGACACAATGTCTACATGGCACCACATTCCAGAAGACTGCTTTCTTCATCGTAAAACTGCTTGTTGCTTAAATCCAGAACCAGTTGTCATATTTGAAAGACTTTCTTGCTCTTACTTGCAATTGGTAGAACACTGTTTCTGTTGATATTTTGATTTTAAGTTGTCTATTCTATGCCTTGAATGAATTTGATTTCCCTGTTTCCTTTCTGTGTTCCCTTATTTAACCTCTTCAGCACTGCATATGGCACTGCCATGTTGACAAAACATTTTCATGGTATAACTGGTTGAAACCAAAAATTCAGCAGTGATTTTAGGTCCTTGGCAGTATTTCTGAAGTTCTTGCGCATGCTGAACAGAAAGCAGCAATGCTTTAGCTCTCAGAATAGACATGCCATTTTACTGTCTTTAGGTAGAGATTTCACCCATTTTACAATTTTCTGGAAAGTTTTACTTCATTGAATCTTAGGGTGTTGCAACCGAATGATTGTATACAGCTTTGATTGAAATGGGAAGATCATGAATGAAGAAACAAAGGCTTAGAAGGAAGCAGTCTTGGCCAATATCTGGTATTCTGCCCGTAAGACAGAGGATAACTACAAGTGTATCAGGAAAAACGATAATCAGATACCTCCCAAATTGAAGTTGTGTACTGCTGTCGTCATGCTTTGTGTAAAGTTCTCTTCACTGGATATAACTTTTAACACATGAAGTTTACATAGAATAGGGATTTGTTTTTCATCACATAATATTCTGAAAGCTTTTTGTGCTCTTGCAGTTGCTTGCTGCAGAGTAACTAGAATGCCCTTTCATTTATTTCCTTAAAGAACTTTGGTTTCTTTCACATCTATTTTGAATTGGCTGCCCCTTAGGAAATATTTCTTGTGAACTGCCTCCCATTCTGAACATGCATCTTGCTCCAGAATATGGTCTTTCAGGTTTAATAGAAATCTACTATTTAGGATACCAGTTGATAGTGTGTCTCATTTGAATCAACTGTATAAACAAAATTATCTCTCACTATCATACCAAAAGTAGAAATGTTTAATTTTATCAGCTGCTTCAATATAGGAAAATATTCAATTGGTCAGGGCACCTGAGTTTGTCACAGTGAACTGCAGTTTTATTCTTTATTTATTGGTAGTGGGGTGGGACTAAGTCTGTTGTACTGCGGCCACTTTTGGCCTATTGTACCACCTCCAGATGATAGGTGAGGGTGATTGTGGAGCAATTGGTGGAATGAAGATTGGCAGGGAAAAACCATAGTACTCGGAGAAAACCTGCCCCAGCGCCACTTTGTCCACCACAAATCCCACTTGACCGAACACGGGCTGCCGCGGTGGGAAGCCAGCGACTAGCAGCTTGAGCTATGGCATGGCCAACTGCAGTAACGTGGATCCCCAGTTCTATAGGCTGGTATAATAGTGTCAAGTTGTATGTTAATATAGATATTGGCTCTAAATATAATAATCTCTCTTGATATACACGATGAATTACCAGATGACTTCAGAATCGTACTTTGTGTGGTGTCACGGAATTTCCGCCGTCGGGATTCGAACTGGTCAAGTTATGTAAAGAAAGCTTTCACTTATTTACTGTTGTTATATGTTGAGGGCATCTTTGAGGGTGCATTATTCTTACTGCTATAGATCTATGCGGTGTCATTGAAAGTTTTATATTCTATACAAATTTCTTTATACGGCTAGAAGTTTCCCCAAAGTGTGTTACCATGTTTTCCTTGCACTTCACTGCATCATTTTAACATACCTTGTGAAACAAAATGATGCTTTAAAAAAATTTGTTGGCTTAACATACGTTTTACAAGGAGTGTGGAGGTGTGATGCCAACTTCATTATGACAACCAATAATTTATCTATTATATTTATACCATGTATATATTATGAGCTTCGTTAGAATCTGGAGATTAAAATGTATAATTTTTTATATTCTGGATCGTTCCAAGTAGTCATCCCTAATGCGTGACATAACATGACATTGGGTAAACTGATGACTGATGAGGAGATGGAAAATGGTGGGGGAGTATTGTCAAGTTGTATGTTCACATGCCGCAATAGGTTTTCAAAGTGCGGTTAGCAGATTGGAAACAGTTCTACAGTACATGTGTTATTAGTTAATGTCTTTTAAGTGCCCATGCATGGTAAGTAGACAGGAGCATGTATATATATATATATACTAAGAATAGTTTATTTAATTTAATTAATGTTTAAAATAAAGGCATTACTGCGGAGGAGGAAGAGGAGTGCATGCAGTTTGGTCATTACATCCGTGTTTTGGTATGATATGCTATGAATTATTCTGTTTCTCTTGTATGTGGCAATTGATTATTATTAACAGTAAGACGATAAGTTCTGTAGGTTTTATACCCGACACATGTAATCCATCAGTATTAATATTTATAACAAAATTTTTCTCCATGTACACAGCTAATTGCATATTGGTGATATTAGGGTATTATACAGTTGTATAGGCAGAGAAAAAATTATAAAATTGACAGATATCGCATACCTAACGGGATCCAGCTAGCAGGTTGGTGTAGAAGTAACACTTAGGATTTATTTGGGAGGTACACAAGAATTCCCAAGTCATTTCCATTTAATCATTCATCCTAACAATTGTCACTATGTAGTGTAGATTCTGAGAGGGTCAGAAAATAGACAAAAAGAAATCTTTTAACAGGTGAGACAGTGAAACCATAAAGCAGCCACAAATGGATATGTGCTATAACTTATGCAGCCATTGCAGGCAGTTTTGAAATATATGCCATGTAAGATATTTATATAACGTATGGGGTTGTAAATTCAGAATCATATAATATACCAGCATACCACAACATATGCATTCCAACTCAGTCCTTGAGATCGAATTGGAAATACATAGATACAGTTGTGTAATAAATGCTATTTGCTGTTGCTACCATGTGTGTATCCTTTATTTGAGATTAAACATGACATGGAAGTAGTTATTTTTCAAAGGGAATAC